GGCCGCCCCCGCCGTAGCTGGCGGCCCTCCCGGCGGCGGGGACGTCGCGGTTGGCGAAAACGGTGTCGTGGTCTTTGAGCACCTCGCGGGCCATGGGCGGTGAAGTCAAGACGATGCCGAGCTTGCTCCCGAGTTGGAGCTTGAAGATTGGGCCGTGGATCTGGGCCAGGGCGGCGAAGTAAGTGTGGAGTTGTGGGTCCAAGGATAGAAGGTTCCCGAAGATAGGGAGGCCCGGTGGACCCGGTGGCAGGGTTTGGGCCTTGGGCTTGAGCCATGCGTAGGAAGTGAGGGCGGAAATGAGGAAGAATGCTAGAAGGATGGGTGTGATTTGGTTTTGCCAATACTCAACTGTTAAGAGGCTTTGAAGGAAAGCTGAGTGGAGAATCATGTTTGTGTTATTGCGTTGGGAATTCAGATGGGGCATTGATTAGACACCGATATTAAGATGAGATATATAACAAGTTTAATAGTTGATGCAACAAGTTGCATGGTTAATAATGCCATGAAAATCTTCAGACAAGAGTCACAAGACAGAAAAGAATTGTATGAATCGCCAAGGATATTGGAAAACGACAAAGGGAATCTTCGACAAATTTGCCTCGTCATTGGTGCCTTGCGCGGCACCTCAACGCGCACCAACCACAATTCAAATAAAGTTTTAAAATAAATGTATATTTTATAATTTAACTTTGATTGTGGCTTAGTTTTAATGTTTTAAAAATTAATGTAGAGATATTTTATATTTAATTATTTTAAAATATATTTTTTCTTCTAGTAGAAATAAGAAGTATATGAGTATGTTTGACCTAGCTTTTTTTTTTTAATAAGTAACTTTTAAGTCAAAACTTCAAATAAAAATAAGTAAAACATGTTTGTTAAATTTAATTTTTTAGCTTAAAAGTTCATTTTAAGCTACAAGTATTTGGAATTTTAAAAATTTTAAATATACATAAAATTAGTTATCTCATTCAATAAAAAGTATATTTATAAAATAAAAAAATATTATGTAAATAATATTAAAATTAATAATAATAACAAATAAAAAATATTGAAGATCAATATAATGAAAGTTTAATTTTAAAAATGTTAAAAATTACTCTAAAATAATATATATAATATCAATTGAAAATTTTAAATTTAAATTATAAATTATAAAATATTTAAGTCATTATATACAATAAAAAAATTTATAAATAAATTAAATTAAATTTTAAAACATATATTATATGTCAAAAATTCAATAAAATAAATGGTTATATTCAAATATTATTTTTCAAGAAAAATTAATTCCCAATCAAAAATTATATTCTTTATTTATAAAAATGAACAAAAGGTTGGTTTAGTTGAGAAGGAGTAAATTTTAACTACATAGTCATTACACCTCATAAATCAATTATTACTAATTTGCAAGTTGTTGTAATGTGATATCAAAATTCATGTAACAACATAAATGTCCTATTCGATTTGGTTTTAGGTGACCAAACCACTTGCTTAGCAAATGGACATCCAAGTCTATGAAAATATAGTAAAATCAAAAAATATAAGATATGTGGACATGATATATATATATAATATATAATACGAATAATATGATAAAAAATTGTATATTAGTATGACAATAAATTATTAAAAAACATCATATTTCACAAACAAAAAAGTTTATTTTTATTTTTTTAATAATCCTCCCTTCATTATTTTTACTTTTATTAAGATTTTTTATTTTTTATTACGTGAAGGTTAAGTAAAGAGAGACAATAATGATTTTCTTTCTTATTTATGTTTTTATCAAGATATTTTTTTAAAAAAAATCTCAAATCCTCCCTTCTTTTTTTCTATTTTTATCAGGATTTTTTTCTTTTTTCTTTTGTAAAAAAATCTTAAATTCTTCCTTTTTTCTATTTTTCTTGATATTTATTCTTCTTTTAAAAAAAACTTAAATTCTCCCTTGTTTATTTATGTTTTTCTTGAGATTTATTCTTCTTTTTTAAAAAAAAAATCTCAAAGTCTCTCATCTTTAATTTTATTTTTATCAAGATTTATTTATTTATTTTTTTAAAAAAAAACCTCGAATCCGCGTATCAGATAATGCGTCAAGATGTATTTGTGTTCATTTGTAAGTATCCGCGATAAAGACATGTCAATTTTGTAAGTATCTGCAATGTAGACATGTCTGATTTGTATGTACATGATTTGTTGAAGTGTCTAAGGCACAACCTCTCAAAAGAGCGTCGGGTTGGGGGGACATGACAATCTCATGTCGTGTCTATGCAACATTGGTCCAAGCCCATGGTTCAATAAGAATTTGGGTCATCCAAGTCCAATAAATTCAACATGGTTTTAGCTAGTTATACCTCTCATAAATTACTAATTACACCTTCAAAATAAAATCAATACAAACACAAAAATTCTTATACTACTTAGCTAAAATACAAGGCCAAAAACAAAGAAAAATATTTACAAGAAAAAATATATAGAAAGAAAAGAAAGTAAGCTACTAAAATAACTCAAAGCTCAATAAACCTTCAAGTCTAGCATACTTTTCTTGGTTCCTTTTGAACTTGACCTCTAGACATGATGTCATTATATAATATCATAATTTTGTATAACTAAAATAAAAATAAAAAATTATTATATATATATATATATATATATATATATATATATTGTTTAAAGTGTATGTAAAAA